GTCACCCTAGGTGAGAAATAGTTATTCTTCATTCCTCTCTATTTTACCATCAATACACCGTAATTTTACGTTTCATAAGTTTTGTCTTATTTTATACGTAAAAAGGGACCGTAAGAAAATATATAATCGCCGTAAAAAATATTTTATGTTATGTAAAATTATAAACGTAAAAACATAGTCTAAAATACACATAAACTACAAATTTTCTTGTTTTATGACCTATATTTTTATTTTGTTATATCAAATTTTATGTAGTGAATCAATAAGAATGTAACTATTTGAATTCCAAACATAAATTAATTATGAAATGATCGTAAAATTACCCCGGGTGAAGAATAACTTATTCTGCACCCTGGGTGATGAATAGTAACACTAGGGTCGCGCTATTCGTCATCCTGGGTGAGGAATAGTTATTCTTCATCCTCCTCTATTTTACTATCAATGCACCGTAATTTTACGTTCCGTAAGTTTTGTCTTATTTCCGACACAAAAAGGAACCGTAAAAAAATATTTAATCGCCGTAAAAAATGTTTTATGTTATGTAAAATTACAAACGTAAAAACATAGTCTAAAATACACATAAACTGCAAATTTTCTTGTCTTATGACCTATATTTTTATTTTTTATGTCAAATTTTATGTAATTAATAAATAAGAATGTAACTATTTGAATTTGAAACGTAATTTAATTATGAAATGATCGTAAGATTACCTCGGGTGAAGAATAATTTATACTGCACCCTGGATGATGAATAGTAACACTATATATATATGGTGGGTCTATTATGATAACACCTTAAAAGTCTTATTCTGCACATCTCTTTCTTATTCTGATAACACCTACCTCCCTCTCCCCCCCCCAAAATAGCACTCTCCCGCAACGAAACCACCCACCCTCTCTCCCACCTTCTCTTCGTGCCCAACCCCCTCCCTCTCACCTTCTTCCTCCTCAGCCGCCTCCTCCCACCATCCCTCCATCTTCCTCTGCCAGCGCCGCCAGGGGCTCGTGCCTCCCTCTCCCTTCCCCACCTTTTCCCGCCACCACCTCTCCAGGAGCCCCGCCTG